TTGGTGGTTTGCCACCTTGACCCTTGCAAAAAGTTTCATTTAAAATATGTTATTTTAGTGATTTCGTATCTTTTAGGTGACATGGTAAAAATATTTTGCAATGTGTGAAAAGAATTTAAGCCCGAGACTCAATGCATTTTGTAACTACCAACATCTTCAAAGAATGATCATTCCACATTGCACTCAGTCAAGGGCTTAAATCCTTAAACCCTTTCCCCATGTGCCAGAGCCACTCAATGTTTTATTTTATTTTAATTTTCATAACTTTCAGCGACAAAAAACCATGTAAATCAATATTTTTCTGGCTGTGATGTAATTTGACTGCATTGGCTATACCTCCAAATATTTTCAAATACTATTTCAAACACTATTACAATAGGCCGAAAATTTAAGACTAATTACAAACATTCTTTATATAATTATTCGATTTTAATTTTTTGAATTTATCCATATAGCAATTTCTATACGGACAAACTTAATTTTTAAGCACCAAAGGTTTTCGACTACACCCGCATAGAAATCTCTATATAGGCATTCAATTTATATTTTTGACCATATAGAAATTTCTATACAGCAGGCAATCTAGAAAAATAATTTTTCTGGGCCACATAGAAATTTCTATACAGCGTTTCGATTTTTATTTTTCTACTCTATCCTTATAGAAATTTCTATACCAGCAAATATAATTTAAATATGCACCCATATATATAGAAATTTCTATGAAGCGTTTCAATTTTTATTTTTGACTTGATCAATATAGAAATTTCTATACGAGCCACGAGGAGAAATGTTTTACCAGTAACATAATTATTATTTTCCGACGGCCTTCACATAGAAATTTCTATACCGATAACCAATTAAAATGACAAAAATTGATATTTCCAGAGTCATCTGCATAGAAATTTCTATCGGAAAGACAATGGGATATTTTGTATAGAAATTTCTATCTGAAAATAGTTTATTTGTAAGTTTAGTTAGAAGCTACATAGAAAATTCTATACTATAAGAAGAAACACAATTTTACTAGACATTAACATGAATATGTATTGATAAAATGATTTTACCTTTATCTGGTTTGATGAAATATTCATATACTTTGTATAAATATTGTAAATCTAATATGATAATAAAACATTGACGGTTGAAATTCATGAAATTCACTGCTGTTTTTACGTTTTTGGGTTTTCAAAAAGGGACTAAACGGTTCATTCTCTTTTTAAATGGTCACGACTTATAAATAAAATGGAATGTAACCTTCTGTGACCTGCTTGTAGAGAGGTTTGCGTATGGTTTTACGAATGAACCGAGACTTAGACCTATTGTCAGTCATTAAATTTGATATAAATGATTATATTTAAGGCATACCATAAAATTTTAGGCATTACATAACATTTTAGGAATAGCATGGCATTACATAATATTTTAGGCATTTTATAGCATTTTTGGCATAACATAACAGTTATGCCAGTGTATAACATACTAGGCATTTTTAGGAATTATTTTCTTTTATTTTGGGTTTAGGTATTACATTATTACCCTCAATTCATTACATAACATATTAGATATATAAGGGTTATGTACTGGGAGGTTTTGGATACAGGGTTTATCCCAAGGGAAATATGTGTATCTCACGAGGGACCGCAGGGACCGAGGGAGATACACATATTTCCCGCGGGATAAACACTGTATCTCCAAAACCGACCGTACATAACTGGTGTATCTCATACTTGAGTGGGTTTGGGGTAGATATAACCTTTACCACCTTTTTCAAATGACAAGATAGGCCTATACTGTAAAGGCACAATTTATATTTAACATTTTCATAATATTCCTTCAGTTCAATACAATAGAATTGTAACCTTTAAACTTTTTGAAAAACTTTAAACTTCTGAAATTAAAATTTTTAAACTTTTGAAAAAATTCCCGGGAGCGGGATGGATATATTATATCTGCCCGCATTTGGCCTAGAGCGGGACATATACAATATATCCTGCCCGCTCCTCAGATATGATATATATTCCCGGGTGATATCTACCCCAAACCCACTCAAGTATGAAATACTACATGATACTTTAGGCATTACTATAGGCATCTTAAGGCATTGCATAAAATGGGTATTACATAACATTTAAGGTATAACCGAATATTTTAGGCATTACATAACATTTACAGCATAACGTAACATTTAGTCGCGTAGAAAATAGCGGAATGGACGTTATTTGTCGACAATCATTTTGTCATATTTTTAGGATCCCATTTTTCCTTTTTTTCAAAATTCCAAACGTCTACCCATAATCTTCCAAATTATAACGGTTCTTTTAGCAATGACAGATCTTTGTTTCCTTGATAAAGATAATTTAGAATAATCCTCAGTCTTTAATCAATTTACATTGAAGCTATTAAGATGTATAATACCACGGTCAGTCAAATAATCTTCGTGTAATCCTGGACTTTGGCATAGGCGAATCATTTCAACATGGTGTCTTACATATGACAGTCTCCACTGGCGGATTCAGAAGCTAAGAAGGGGGCCACTTTTCAAGTCAGGAAAAATATTTTCCGCGGAATTTTTTTTGGGCCCTTAAACCCAAAATGTGGCCCAAATATTGAACAACTGAGGCTCAAGAAGGCTAAGTTACGCCCAAAAAGGCCCAATTTTGAGGCTGTATAAAATTTTGGGGCTCAAAAATTGTTTGGGCCCTACAATTTTTTACTGGCCACAACCTAGCCCCCCTCCCTGGATCAGCCAGTGGATTACGAAGGTACACGACAATCAATAAGACAACATCAAGATAATAAATATAAAATGAAGCAGATTCTTGACTTACTTGTGGAAATCAAAAGTCAGGTATCTAATACTTTGTATTAAATACAAATTAATAATCAAAATCACTGTATCTTTAAACGATGATACTTTTCAAAATCATATTTTGTAAGTTTAGATTAATCAGATCTTCGGTGTCACTTCATTTAATCTAAAGGAGAGCTCTTCAAGCGAATACTAAAGAGTTCAGAGGGCGACGATTTAGTTGAAGAATATTAGGCCCAAGCTAGATGGGTCAACATATCTATTGTCAAGTTGTCTGTTTTCACGTGTAAATAATGTTGTAGGCCTTGTATTCTCTTTGTATTTATGAATACATATTGCTTTGTTGAATGAAACTTCAGATACACTAAAACAAATCAATATCTCTTCATAAATATTTACTAATATGTTTCAATATCATAAGATATGAGGCAATTTTACATGAAAAATTATTGTCTTTTCGCCATCTATTAGTCCTTAATCTACTATTAGTCCTTAATGGCACTCTAAATAGAGTCTCTTTCAAAATTGTATCATAATGTATGTGCCCCATGTCCTTTAGGCTCGCTCAGTTTCTTTTGGTTTTAACTGTTCACTTCATTCTGTACCACAAGACTCTCCATTTCAACAGGTTCTGCATTCTCCCTAGCATCTCCATTATCAATATTTTGTGAGCCCTAGAATGCAGCGTGAACATCTAAAGTGACATGAGGGCAAGACGAAATAGTCGTTTATCAAGTCTTTGTCAATCAATAAATCAATCAAAGTTTTGAACTTTTTTGTGTAAGGAACAACATTAATATTCAAACATTGTCAGGTTTGGCTTGCAACCGAAGATACGTCAAGAAAAGCCGGAGACTGCCGAAGATTTTCTTTGCAAACGAAGTTGGTCGATGGTACCACGAATGTGAAGAGGACGTCTGTAATTGGTCAAAAGAGAGGCTCGGCATACTCCGTCAGATTGTTAATAAAGTCCATTGTAATATGAAAATTGAACTTTACTTCTATGTGTTTGATAGCAGGGGTGTATGTAGTTACCGTAAATTTGCTCCATAACCCCACCCTGTGCGATTCAGGGAGACAACAGAACAGTAAATCCGGCCATTTAATATACGTTGCTTCATCAACATCGTCTTTATCACTAAATCCTACAAACAGAACGAATGATCAGAAAATCCAACAGAAACCCTGGTACTACTTTTACCTGATACTACTATACTGAATCTTTTCATCATCCTAGATACTTTTAAAACCAGAATTGGTATTACGGCCCGTTTTGCCTTAACTCTTTGAAACACTGATTACCCGTAGCCTAGTTTTGCTGTATGTTTAATGAAATACTGGTAATACCTGTCACCAAGCTTACAAGCATCTATAATAAAACTAAATACTCGTCGGAGGAATTTTAATTTTCATCATTTTCACCAACAAAAGGTGGATTTGTATCCAAATGTTTTACCCATATGTTAATATTAGCATCAGGTTACTGAAAGCTATTAGCTGGTCAGTCACGAGCAAATATTTCCAGCAGCTCCAATAATCGAATAAGAATTCCTCACGTCAACAACCAGGACGTTTACACAACTCAACCAAGACGTTACGAAATTCACCAGGTACAAATCAACCTCTTTGCATTGTTGGTGAAAATGATGAAAAGAAAACTTTCCTTCGACGGAAGTTCATCGATTTTGTTATAAAATAATAGCGTCTTTATAAACAGATTGGGACCAGTCGTATTCAGCTCATTCGATTGAAATAAGCGTCAGTCACGAGCAAATATTTCCAGCAGCTCCAATAATCGAATAAGAATTCCTCACGTCAACAACCAGGACGTTTACACAACTCAACCAAGACGTTACGAAATTCACCAGGTACAAATCAACCTCTTTGCATTGTTGGTGAAAATGATGAAAAGAAAACTTTCCTTCGACGGAAGTTCATCGATTTTGTTATAAAGCAGTAGCGTCTTTATAACCAGATGGGGACCAGTGATATTGTACCCTAGACGTATTCAATAAGCGTTTATTTATTAGTTATGTTAAGTATTCAGGTTATTAAGAGAAAAAATTCGTTTAAAATAATAAAATATAAGTATCGTCTTTTTGGAAATTTTACTTGCTATTCTGTCATTATTCTGTTTTTGATTGTTAATGTTTCATCCTGGTTTACCTTCCAGTTGCAGCTGGTCGTAAAGGCTCCAAGACAATACATCCCAACAACCGACCCTCCAACTGCTCCGCCCAATGCCACGGTGACCTGTGAGTGGAAGAGTCCAAACTGTATAATTTTCACTTACTATTTTACTACAACGTAAGGATACTGAATTATATATCTAAACACCAGACCATATAATTTAGTATTTTGTTACTTTTTACTTAGGTTTGAAAGCGTGATAATCCAGCCTGTTCAAAAATGAACAGTAACTAATTTGTGGAATATGTTAGAGAAAAACTTTTGAAGATCTTAGCTTCTTAAAAGATATGCAAATCTACCTTATAGTGTAACTATTCGACAAGCATTTTCTATTGTTACGTAACGGTGAAACTCAAAACAAATTTTCTGGATGTGTACCTGCAAGATTTGACCAGGAATCTTCATAGCAACAAACGCCATCACAGTCGACAAAATCCCAAATACAATCACTAAAATAACGCAAAATTGTAATCATTTTAATGTTTAAAACAATATAACAAACCTGCATATCTTCACCCTGGGATGAGCCATAAGACACAGCTTAACTGCACTGTTATATTTTAATTAAAGTAGCTATCACATTCGATGTGCGGGCTCACCGTTCGCCACAATGTGGCCTGCTGGCTAATTTTGGGCATTAATTTTTTACTTGACTAATTGAATAATTATTTGGTGTGATGGGAGATTGCTGTAAAACTATTTGTTTTGCCCACTGTGTATAAATGCCTTATCCAACCAAAGTATCCACACGGTAGCGAACAGTAAGCCCACATGGCTTAAATGTGATGACTCCATAATAAGCGAGATTCAGAAATATATAACGTACCCAATCCCTTTGTAATATGCGTCGCCCTAGCAAGGCTTGCGTTAGGAAAGCGATCTCTAAGAACGTCCTCCCAGATATTTGCAGCAAGGGAATTAACAAGTGATGATATCGTACTGAAATACAGTTCGGGTAATAAAAACAGTCAAAACGGGCTTTTATCTTATTCTAGACTCGTTCCCAAAACATTGCACTTGAACGTTTTTGGACACGAACACGATGTGTCCCCTGGATGTGTCCAAAGTACTGGTCGTAAATTTCTTGTTGAATTCTTGAGAATCACCTCGGATGAAGGCCAAAGAATATAGAATGATCCAAATCATTGCTTGGAAAATATTCTGAAACGAAGACATCGTGCCTTCGTTGCTAGATGACCCCCAGTGGCGCCAACGCGTCTGCTTTATAGCAGTTTAACACTGAATTAATTTTTGTCTTTATAAAACGTACGGCGTATTGTTAATATATCCTGATAAATATATTTCAGGTTTATTTTCAGAAGAAACATGATTATGACGAACCTCGAAAAATATGTCGATAAAATCTCTTCAAAAGCGTAAGACCAGGAATTGAAATAAGAACAGAGCATCCAGAATTACAACATTGTCAATCCTATCTTTACTCCACAGACACGAAAGTTCAAGATCTTTACTAATGATTTTAAAATATTAAAAATCACCTCAATGCGGCGCTAAACATAGCTGCAAGAAATATCCCTGGTATGCCTGGAACCGCAAGTACGTCCATTACAAAGTAGGGGAATATCTAAAAATTGAAACTATATTTCATAATATGCATGCTTTAATGACAAAGTTTAATGATATGAATCCCCAAATTTCAGCGCATCGAGTCCTTGCAGTAAATCTACCTGATTAATATTAGTAACAGCTCCAATAACCATAGGGTCACATTGAATGTGAGAGTAATAGGCATACACCGTGAGCCCTACAAGAGCTGTCAGCGCATAAATCACACAAACGGCGGGAATAACTGTTAGCATGGTCCTGTAAGAACAAATGATCGGTCGGTTGCATTGATATATTGTATTAGGTTAAGCATAAGCTATATTAAGCTATATTATGGATGCCGAATGGAACAATGGACAAGGTAACGAGATTGTATTGAGTTAAGCATAAGGTACATTATGGATGCCCGAATGGAACAATGTACAATGTAACGAGATTGTATTAGGTTGAGCATAAGCTATTATTTTATGGATGCCCGATGGAATAATTGACAATGTAACGAGATTGTATTAGTAAAACATAAGCTATATTATGGACGCCCAAATTGAATTATTGACAATGTAACGAGATTGTATAAGCTTTAGCATAAGTTATATTATGGATGTCCGAATGGAAAAATTGACAATGTAACGAGATTGTATTAAGTTATGCCCGAATGGAACAATGTACAATGTAACGAGATTGTATTAGGTTAAGCATGAGCTATTTTATGGATGCCCGATGGAATAATTGACAATGTAACGAGATTGTATTAGTAAAACATAAGCTATATTATGAATGCCCGATGGAATAATTGACAATGTAACGAGATTGTATTAGGTAAAACATAAGCTATATTACGGATGCCCAAATTGAATAATTGACAATGCATGAGATTGTATTAGGTTTAGCATAAGTTATATTATGGATGCCCGATGGAATAATTGACAATGTAACGAGATTGTATTAGGTAAAACATAAGCTATATTATGGATGCCCGATGGAATAATTGACAATGTAACGAGATTGTATTAGGTAAAACATAAGCTATATTATGGATGCCCGATGGAATAATTGACAATGTAACGAGATTGTATTAGGTAAAACATAAGCTATATTATGGATGCCCGATGGAATAATTGACAATGTAACGAGATTGTATTAGGTAAAACATGAACCATGGTATGTATGCCCGAATGGAATAATTGACAATGCATGAGATTGTATTAGGTTTAGCATAAGTTATATTATAGATGTCCCAATGGAATAATTGACAATGTAACGAGATTGTATTAGGTAAAACATAAGCTATATTACGGATGCCCAAATTGAATAATTGACAATGCATGAGATTGTATTAGGTTTAGCATAAGTTATATTATGGATGCCCGATGGAATAATTGACAATGTAACGAGATTGTATTAGGTAAAACATAAGCTATATTACGGATGCCCAAATTGAATAATTGACAATGCATGAGATTGTATTAGGTTTAGCATAAGTTATATTATGGATGCCCGATGGAATAATTGACAATGTAACGAGATTGTATTAGGTAAAACATAAGCTATATTATGGATGCCCGATGGAATAATTGACAATGTAACGAGATTGTATTAGTAAAACATAAGCTATATTATGGATGCCCGATGGAATAATTGACAATGTAACGAGATTGTATTAGGTAAAACATAAGCTATATTATGGATGCCCGATGGAATAATTGACAATGTAACGAGATTGTATTAGGTAAAACATAAACCATGGTATGTATGCCCGAATGGAATAATTGACAATGCATGAGATTGTATAAGGTTTAGCATAAGTTATATTATGGATGCCTAAATGGAATAATTGACAATGAAACGAGATCGTATTAGGTTTAGCCTTAACTATATATGGATGCCCAAATGGAATAATTGACAATGAAACGAGATCGTATTAGGTTTAGCCTTAACTATATATGGATGCCCAAATGGAATAATTGACAATGAAACGAGATTGTATGAGGTTTAGCATAAGTTATATTATGGATGTCCGAATGGAAAAATTGACAAAGTAACGAGACTGTTTAAGATTAAGCAACAGGTATATTATTAATGTCCGAATGGAATAACTGACAATGTTACGAGATTGCATTAGGTCAAACATAAACTATATTGTGAATGCCCGAATAGAATAATTTACAATGTAACTAGATTGTATTAGGTAAAACATAAGCTATTATATGGATGCCCGATGGAATAATTGACAATGTAACGAGATTGTATTAGTAAAACATAAGCTATATTATGGATGCCCGATGGAATAATTGACAATGTAACGATATTGTATTAGGTAAAACATAAGCCATGGTATGTATGCCCGAATGGAATAATTGACAATGTAACGAGATTGTATTAGGTTTAGCATAAGTTATATTATGGATGTCCCAATGGAATAATTGACAATGTAACGAGATTGTATTAGGTTTAGCCTTAACTATATTATGGATGCCCGAATGAAATAAATGACAATGTATGATATTGTGTTATGTTTAGCCTTAGCTATTTTGTGGATGCTCGAGGTAATATATATTAATGTACATAAATTATTTTTCAGAAATTCTGCTTACAGTCTGGCATCTTTGAGTGATCGTGTTGCTGAAAAACGCTGCACTCCAGGTTGGCTTACTCCATACGGTTGTGTAAAGATTACCCCAACACCAATAGTGAGGCCCCAGAAGGTATGTCTCGTCAATGGGTTCAAGTCAAAGCTGGAACACAAACTCAAACATCCATACAGTATATACATGCAGGGTGGTCCAAAAATGGGACACTCGTATTTCATAAATAAATTATGATTTTCTTGATGGAAACATCATAATATGTCATATTATATACCAATGGATAGGGAATTTATTCATCTTTAATTTGGTATATCATAAGTTCAAATTTATTAAAATGTCTGTCAACCAGCGTCTATTATATAAATTATAATCAATCACTCTATTGGCTGGATTCTTCCACCTCTCTGACACAGGTCCCACATATTTGCGAAGCCTCCAACTCGACTGCAACCCTTGAAACAACAATAACTTACAATTAATTTACCAAAACTTATGAAAATGAGTCAACAATTATTGCTGTTTTTGATACTACTTCATGGTAGTCAAAAAACGACAACCCAAGACTCCCTCATTTCAAACTTGATAGACAGATTAATGATCAATATGTAAAAGACAAAATGAAGATTTCGGCTTCATGAAATTCAAATTATCCGAAATGTACCATCATATTTCGAAAAGTGTAATTGCAATTAATATAAAAAATGATAGGCAAACGCCTAGTACGTGATTTACCATTGCTAATGCGATAATCATTCCTATCACTATGATCAAGAATTGGAAGACGTCTGTCCAAATAACGGCTTTAATACCTCCCTGCAATCGTACATGTAAACATTCAGTTATAAAATATTACGCGAAAGAACAACAATAATCTCGAGAACTCCCTACGTGCAGAAAGTTCCTTGCATAATAATAGTAACCCGGACAGAATTGTTCAACGATCACCTTTTCTTTAATAACTTTTTTAATTTTCAGTATTATCAAAATCTGATTACATTTTTTTAAACTAGAATAAAATTCTGACATACAAAGGATATTTAAGGAACATCTCTTACTGACATTATAGACGTTAATAGTATGAGAGACGCAAATACATAATTCACCATTTGTCTCATATTTGTTCAAAATGGTGGCTTGTTTTATGAATTTGAATGTTCAGTTAAACGTTAATATTTAAAAAAACGTCATGGGCCTATGGATTCGTGTAGACTGCTGCTTTGGTATGAGGTAATGAGGAATGACTGCATTTAAACCTTTTGTTTTACATTGACTTGTATGTATACCGGTACTTAAAAAAAGTATTGCACATTGTTTGTACAGTTTATTGGTAAGGTCGCAGGACATAGTTTTTTGGCCATTCCATTGTTACCCATATTTGATTAGCAGCCCTAGTTCGTTTAACCATTGCATCTATAGGGTCATATTTGCCACAGTTTAATGTCTTTCCCAGTCACAAGCCTTTTAACCCATCCATGGCATGCATGTGAATTGTTCTTCAGCGTTTCAATGGCCTCTGAGAAGGCTGTTTGGACCTTTTGAAAAGACTGGACCTATTCTCATCACACCCCGCACATTGGGGCGCCACCTTTTCATATCCTCTTGAACGCAACCCAAACATTTCAATAGAGTTGAGTTCATGAACCTTGGGTGAGTTTGACTTCTTGTTTTTTATGATTGGTCAGTTGCTGTATTCTATCAGGATTGTAATGGTGGCAGCATGACCCTATAGGCTTATGCCAATCTTTAAAAATTAACGTTCAACTGAACATTCAAATTTAACGAAATATTACGCCGTTTTGAACAAATATGAAGTAAGATGATGAATTATGTATTTGCGTCAGTATTCTATTCAGTAAATCTCCCAAGCTCAGCCTCCCGGTAACTTCAGTACTTGAAGAGTACAAAGCAGCCAAAGTAAGAGCAGTAACCACTCTACGCTCTTCAAAGGACAATAAAGTTACTAGCTCGGGAGAAACAATATCGAATGGGAGGGGATGGAATCCTCAACAGGCAATCGGTATTGCTGAAAGCCAACTCCGTCATAAAGACATAGTAGGTGTCGTTTGTAAAGGTAGGATGGGCCTTGGAAACTATGGCACATCCAGGTGGAAAGATGCCAACACAGAGACAAGAAGGAAGCTTGTAGTAAAGGAGATTAGGCAATCAGAGGAAAAGGGTAGACAGGTGAGGTTAGCACAATTAGTCAAACAAGGTGCATGGACCCACTGGGAGTCTACACTCGATCGACAGCTCTCATGGAAAGACATATGGGATATGGAGCAGGGCAAGATTAGCTTCTTATTAAGAGCAATATCTGATCTTTTACCATCTCCTGCCAATCTCACTACCTGGGGTTTTAATGAAGATGCATCATGTATCCACTGTGGAGCTCTGAGCTCTGCAACCCTTAGAGAAACATTTTGTGGGTGCTAACGCAAATCCTAAAGGGAAGGTTTTGCCTAGCGGTAGCAGGCACACCTCTCGAGGAAGATATGGCATCTTACAACAAGCACAGGACTGGGAGCTCCAAAGACTCACATTTCCCAGCTGTATCACGACAACAAACCAAAGACCAGATATGCTTTTATTCTCAGAGGGTAAAAGAATTGCTGTCATGATAGAACTGACAGTACGTTGGGAAGATCGCATTGAGGTAGCACACCAACTCAAAAGCGCAAAGTACCAAGATCTGGTTGAGGAGATAGAGGCAAAAGGGTGGAAAGTTCATTACTATCCCGTTGAAGTAGGTTGTAGAGGATTTCCATCAACATCTCTCAACCGAATGTTCAAGAATGTAGGACTCCCACCCTCATGGCTCAAGAGAGCGAACAGAGCAGTTGGATCTGCAGAAAATGAAGCCTCCCGCTGGCTCTGGCTGAGGAGAAATGACAAATGGGCACAGGGGAGACAACATTAACCAATGACTTATTTGACAATTGCTAATACATTCACCGAGGGTTTGTTCACCATCCCTTTACCAACAAGGGCAGAGTAGTGCGTACAGCAGGTAGCGCTTAAAGGTCGACCGCTCTGGCTATAGTGGTGTTCAAACCATCGAAGAATGTAAAGGTTGGTACCAACATGACAAACTGACCGAGTGAGTTAAAAGGCAAGCAGGAACATCGTAGCATAGCACTCTCTTGTGTTTAATCAAAGCGTCAGTTATACTATAAACGCCTGCAATGTCAATAAATTAGAAGTTTCTCATTAAATATTTTTTGTGTCAGAATTATACTCTAGATTTCAAATATGCAATCAGATATTGATAATACTGAAAATTAAAAAAGTTACTAAAGAAAAGTGACCCTTGAACAATTCTGTCCGGGCTACTATATAATAGAAAAAGTCAGAACTTTGCTCTTTTAGAAAATAGAGACATATCAAACATATTTGAGCAAAACAATAGTGTTCTAAGAAAGATACTCTCAGCTCGTCTTTAGTAATTGCTATACCTTAACTTTTTTATCTGGATACATGAAAAACGCATACAAGACAGGATTCCCTTAAATCACTTGCAATTCATTACTTTGTGTGCTTTAATTATTTTTATACATAGAATACAATATAGTTCAACCAGAAACGAGTTTGCAAGATATAATATGTGCTTTAATAGAGCCTGACATACCAGTGTTGTATAGAATGTTGCTACTGCTGCCATAATTAAAATAGAGACCCACGTCGAAAGACCAGTTACTGAAATGTTGAGTGACATACTGCAGATAAACTACTAGTACTACTACTAGTCTAGAGAGTGTGATAGACCAGTTACTGAAATGTTGAGTGACATACTGCAGATATACTACTAGTACTACTACTAGTCTAGAGAGTGTGATAGACCAGTTACTGAAATGTTGAGTGACATACTGCAGATATACTACTAGTACTACTACTAGTCTAGAGAGTGTGATAAACCAGTTACTGAAATGTTGAGTGACATACTGCAGATATACTACTAGTACTACTACTAGTCTACTAGCGTGTGATATATCGAAATGTAATAGGAAAATAGCAAAATTACAATGATAACCCTCTTACCTGCCTCTAGAGCTATTGCAGGAGCATACATGACGACGCCACCAATGGCCACCTAAATCAACAATCACAGATTTGAATTCTTATCCCAGCCCAGTCAGTATACAGTGTGTCGCAAAATATTGTAAAATATAAAATTAGTGGTCCCAAAATCAATTTCATTTAGTTTACCATTTGAGCCAAGTGTCTCTTCTTTCCAATATGATGTGTCATTTATTCATATGAGACGACAGACCACTGAATAATCATTACTTTTCCACAATAGGCCAAAGTCCGCTCTGTACAAAGCTTTAGAGATTGCAAAAATCAGTGCATATGACCAGTAGCTATTGAAAAAGAAGTGGCACAATTAAGTGTTCAAAATCATTGTCTTCCATCTTATAAAAGTTGACTCATAAAAAATTACATGCATGCCCCTTAACATAGCCTGGATATATTTTTCTGAATTACCCTTGAAATGTGGGTGCGAATGTACACAAAAACCCTTTGGTTTGTCGTTCACTGAACCTTCATGGATACTAATGAACACATAAAATTGTCCTTGGTAAAACTAAGTGTGAAACTTTTGTTATTCATTGCTTCAGTCACATTTAATCGACGACCGTTGCTTCCCAAAATCGAGAGAAATGTGTAGCATGAAATATGGGACAATTTACGATAATTGATATTTTAAAAATCTGTTGTTGTACTAGAGACTGCGACATATATGTTGATTTCATGGACATGCAATGTGTTATGTTTTGTTGACCAGACTTTAAGCAATCATTACCACAAGGTACCTGTTTGGAATATTGCTTTTCTTTTAAAAAAAGATCACTTTAATGATGGATTTTTTGACAATTACGAAATATTTTATTTTTTCGGCAAATATAAACTCGAATTCCTTAACCTAAAATGTATCGATTGCGTTGATATTTTTGAGCATGCTAATAAAAGGTATGTGCTACCAGCTCTTGAAAACGGGATGTTTGATATGTCTTGGTCACAAAATTAAGTATGTTATACTATATGTATACAATTTGTCAAATATTTGTATCCTCCAACACATCGGCCATATTAATATACACTATTGATGTATTATTTTGGTGAAAGCTACGCCAGAAGGTACATTTTGATAACACATCTTCGATTGCAGACAATGGAGATATATGATTGAGTGTAGGTATTTCTGTCGTGAATTCAAGTTGACTAGATTAGGCTGTCCAATATTTTGTATCCTTCAAACATTAAA